TTGAAGTCATTTTTAAAAAAGAAATTATTTATTTCGAAGTTTTAAAACTTGAAATGCTGAGAAAGAAAAAAAGTTTTTTTATTTTTTTATTTTTTTCTAACCTTTACGATAGATGATCTAGTTACACTATAACGATACTTAGTACCCCCCCTAGTATAGTACTTTACCCCTAACCCAATTTTTTTGATTAAGACCGGGGATACTGTATGCAGTGCTATACGGTACTATTTTTTTTGTTTGATGTAAATATTTTTAAGTTATTCTATTATACATTTACTTTATTGTTTATCAGACATTTGTAAAATTAAAATAATAATAAATTCAAATATTTTATAACGATAACAATATATATTATTGTCAGATGCTGCGGTAAATATTATACAATCACTGATATTACTATATATGTAAAGCATACGCTAATACTTTAATGCGAAGTACTACGGTCGAAGTACTCCGAAGGTTTACTGAGTTGTAATATCTACTAAGAATTTCAACCGTAATACTTCGTAATTATAACGGAGCTATATATAACCTTCGAAGTACTTCAATGATGATGTAAACATTACGAAGATTTACGGATTTACGACGTAATAATATAAGGAAGAGTATTATTTGCGGAATAATTCGCCTCAAATAACACGACGTTCAACGAGAGCAAAAAAAACTTTTGATAGAGAAGTAATGATGTTATTAAATCAAATAAATACATAATCAATGGTGAGCCGTAGACAATGGTAAATATAGAGCCACAGTAACTTTATATAAATGCAGTTAAGACATTTTGAATAGATAGATGAAAAGAAAACGTAAACTTCCTAGAATAATTCACGAGTATCAACAATTAAATTTTGTTTCGATGTATGCAGGCGTTTTTGCTGCTCTTTAATTATTCTGTTTGCTAAAGGTGGTAGATATTTGGAACAATTGGAAAAATTGAAGCGTCGACAACTCGAAGATCTTGGGTTCCATAAACTAGAAATCGATGAGATCCTCTACCAATTATATCATTGAAATGCCAAGCAAGATTTTTACAACTTTATAAAATCTTTTGAAATCTCAGAAGTGTCTATTGGATTAATTGGTACTATATAAAGTAAGTATTTTTAAGTTTTATTTTAATGTATTAACAAGAATTAATTATATAATACATATCCTAAAGACAATGCTCGAAATTTTATATTTAGGATCTTGGGTGTCCAATTATCGTAATCAACTTTTTAACCACACTTAAAATCATATCCTATTTCAAAAATTTGAATGTACTGTATTTTATAAATAAAACTTGCATAAAATCATTGCAAAGATGGCATAATTTGAACTTTTTATTCAATATACTTCACTTGCCTATTTACATACTACTTGTATCATTAACATTCGTTCAACCAATAAAAAAATATGATTTTTTAAGAAGTATTTGTATCGCATCTTTCTATATATCTCTTTTTTTTTTTTAAAAAAAAAAAAAGATCAAATTATTGGTTTAATTTGGTGATACAAAATAGCTGGTAATCTCGGAATGGACTATGCCGCTGTAGCTCGGAACTTTATTTTCTTCCATATTAAACGAAATTCTTGTCATGATCAACATTAGAAATAATCTCATTGTTATTTTAAATACTTCTTTCTTTTTAATCCATAATCTGGTTTTTTTTTTTTTGTTTTAAACAAATTGTTTTTTAAGGGTTTTAAAATATTATAATGACTCAATTTTTTTTTTTTTTTTGAGTATTTAGAGAAATACAGCTAATTCTACATCGTCCTGATGCGAATTGTTTGATTTTCCCTTTCCGATAACATTTAAATAACGGTATAAAAGGTTTTTTCACGAATATTCACATGGCTTAATAATGATGAACAACATTTAGTGGTACATTTAAAACATGTTGTACCACAATTATTCATCTTTAATTCGTTACCCTTTTTTTATTTTTATTTTTTTCTTGAATTGGAATAAAACTACAAACTACAATGGATTGCCGACTTTCCGTTGATTGCCTCGACGAAATTTTTGAGTATTTAGAGAATGACAAAGCTACTTTATACTCATGTATACTTGTTAACCGCCTCTGGCATGAAAGTTCTGTTAGAATCTTATGGAGGAATATTTGGATTGTTCCTATTGCATACCCGAACAGATACCGATGGGAATCGTCATCAAAAATCATTCGCACTTTAATCGATTGCCTTCCTTATGAATCAAAAATCCTTTTAAGTGAGAAAGGCATTTATTCAACGTCAAAACTTCCATTGGTTAACTACGCATCGTTTTGTAAAGTCCTTTCAGTTCATGAAGTCGATCAAATAATTCAACGTAATCTTTGCCCCACAAAAAGGGAGTTGGTTTTACAAGAAATATTAAAAATGTTCATGAAGCAAACTTCTTACCTGAAAGAATTAGATTATAAAATTACTACCTCCGATATCCCCGTTGGTTTCACATCTTTTCCTGGAGCAATCAATCGTTTGTCAGGTCTTTCAAGATTAACCTGTAGTTCAAACATTAAATCCGAATTTTTTCATCAAATATCTGGAATTTGTCATAATATAAAATCACTTAGCGTAGAGATCAATACGATCATTTCGAATGGATTAAAAGATTTAATTTCACAAAGCAATTTAAAACATTTAACGTTTATAACCAATTTTTCTAGTAGTTCTCTGTCATATATCATACCTTCATTAACGAAACTTTCAAACACTTTAATCAAGTTGGAAATCATTGGAATCTCTTTTTATGATTTTGACAACTTACAACATGTTTACTTTTCACAATTACAAACCTTAACGTTTGAACGGGAATTCCTGTATCTAAATACCTTTTTAGAAAAAAATGGAAAGAATTTAAAAAGTCTTTCTATCGGTTATTCTGATAGTCCGTTGTCTATAGCTAAATTTTGTCCAAACCTGAAATCATTAGTTATTGCAATGATGAACGCTGAATCTTTGAAAGCTATATTGAATAGCTGCCAACAAATAGAAAGCATTGAAATCTGGTGTAGCGATTATTTAAGTGAAAAGGAATGTGTTGGGATTTTAAGAAAATTTTTACCAAAGAATTTTCGTAAACTAAAGTTAGAGAAATGTGTTCTATACCATAATCACTTTTTGAGAAGTAAAACGATTAATTAGTTCATGAAGGTTTGATTTTTTTATCATTCTAAAGTATAAAAGTGTTATTTATGAAATTTTAACTTTTTTTTTTTTTTTAAAAAAATAGCAAACTTATTCGAAATTACATGATGCAATGAAATTTTTGTTAAATAAAGAATTGCTATTATTGCTATTGGACTTATTGGACAATTGGACAATTGGGTATAGTCCAAATAAATTATTGGACAATTGGGACTTAATCCAATTGCCAACTATTTTATTAATTATAACAATTATAAAATATAGAATTGATTTATTAATTTTCAACTATTACAAAAATATCACTTAACATCCTTTTTGCTTGTTTATCATTTAAAGATGTGGTTTGGACAATTGAACACAATTGAACTACCTTGTCCAATTGTTCAAAATCGTCCAATAACGTCATGTTGAGAACAATTGATCAAGAGAAATGTAAAAATCAATAAATTCATTATATCAAGTTGAATTTGTATTATCCAATTGAAATGACTCATAAAAATGAAAAATAAATAAATAATAAGAAAAAGAATCTCATCAAGTAGCAGATCAGCCTACCCTTAATAATCTTTATTTAATGAAAATAATTTAGAATTTTATACTGATGGTTCTCATCAATTTCTTGTATTTCCTTTACAGACTTTAAGGTTATATGGTTCACCTTCAATATACAGTGGCGGTCAAAAGTATTGCATCACCCAAATACAAAATTTTAAATAGCATTATCTTATGATTAAGAAGGCGCAGCGGTATCAAAATTATTTATTAGACTCATCAT